CCCGGCCCTCAAGTCTGAATTTTGATCACTACCTCTTTCCTTCCAACTTGCTTGAGTACTTCTCAAAATTCTCTAACGTCATCATGATGTCCCCACATCTCACCACTTAACTCACTAGCCACCACCACCTTCATGCCCCCTCTTTCCTCATTGTTTAACCTGGATTCCATAGTGCAGCACTCTGCTTACTAAGTAAAATCCTTAACTCCCTCTGCCTGCCTTTCCTTCTGTTCTACATTATCTGTCACAGCCCCATCTCAGGTTAAACCCAAATATCTGTTCACTCTTGCCTGTACCTAAGCAGGTGAACATTTGTGGAGAAAATCAAGCTATGCTGAATAGGCTCACTTCAAATTTATGAGCATAGATCTCAAACGAGATTAAGCATAGACTGTTCAACTACTGTGGCTAGTAAATTCATTTTCCTATTCTTTAAGAGGACCATTTGGTACCTATCTCCTCAAACCACCTTTCTACCCTGTCACCACCACCCTCCAATAATGACCTTGCTACATATTTCATGGAAAAAAATAAACACAATCAGACAAGCTGCCTTCAGTTCTACTTGCATATATGTCCACCTAATCCTTTCTTCAGGATGTAATAGAAACGTCCCTCCTCCCAAGGCAAACCTCGTGCCTCGGAACTTGTCTCTTATCTTTTAAGGGCTTTTATAGTAATCTCATTCCTTCCTTGGATCATTTTTTCTCTTTCATTACTGGATCATTCTTCTGACAGACAGACATACCTACATGCCTTAATATCATTCACTTAACAAAGAAAGAAAAAGAAACTCCCTTAATATATCTCCTCTGCCAAATCCCTAGTCCAAGCCACCGTGATCTCGTGGTCAGACTTTCGCAGTGGCCTCCTAATGGAGTCTCTTTGCCTCCACTTGTGCCTCTCTGCAGCCTGTCCCTCATACAGCAGCCAGCATGATTCTTCTAAAGTAAAGGTCAGGTTATAGTATTCCTCTTCTTAAATCTCTCCAGATGCTTCTCATTTCTCTTAGCATAAAATCCAAATTCCCTGTAGCCTACAAGGCCCTACGTAAGTCTGTGACCTCTTCTAACACTCTGTCCCTCCCCCACCATGCCCCTGCCACACTGGTATTTTTATTTCTCCAACATGTCAAGCTCATTCTGTGCTATTCCTCCTGGTCCAAATATTCTTTCCCCAGGTCTTCCGCACATCTGCCCCTTCAAATCATTCGGGTCCCAACCCAAGTATTTCCTTCTCAGATAGGCCTTCCCTGCCCACCTCATCTTAAGTAGCCCACCAGTCACTCACTACTACTTAGCCTTATTTTATCTCATTCATAATGCCGATCGCTATTTAAAAATTATGTTTAGATCATCTTTCTCCTTCCACCACAAGTTAAGCTGCTTGAAGTTAAGTGTGCCACCTGCCTTACTGACCATTGTATTCTCAGCACCTAGAGTAGGGGACATATTAAGCACTCAGTAAATACTTGTCGATTAATTGACTCCTTTCCCTTGGCCTGACTGCATCTGCCCTGCTTGTGATTTCCCAGGGACTGCCTTTGGTGGGTTATCCCTTCCTTTCCTCCGTCATTGATCTCTCCCTTCTGGCTTCTCGTTTGGATTTTAACGCGTTTGCATCTCCCTCATCTCAATGTACGCACTCACACAGACACTTGACACCCGTGGACCCAGTATCCCCTCAAACTACCATGTTGTTCCTCTCCTTGATTTCACAGCCTCACTTACTTATCTATCTGTTTGCCGTCTCCTTTCTCTTCCCTCCTCCTCTGTTGGCTGCGCTAGAGTGCAGCTTCTGTCTCCTCACTCCACCACCCACTCTGATATGATGGCTGCAACGTCATGTTTACTCACTTTACCTTTGTGGACCAATTCCTTTTAAAATGCTGCTGTGATACCGTTCTCCTATGGTTTTTCTTTTTAGCTTTCCGCTTGCTGATTTTCAGGCTCCTTTTCTCCCTCTCTTAAATGTTGAAGAGTATTCACGTGGGCCCTTTCTTCTTGTCACTTACTCTTGCATGTTCTTATCGCTGTGGCTTCAATTTTTGTCTGTGTGTTGATGGTTTGCAAATCCCTATCTCCATCCCTCGCCTCTCTCATGAACTTAAGATCCATATTTCTCAAATGTGCTGTGATTAATTAGTCTTGCTGCCAGTTCTTTGAATTCTTGCTGGAATATTTTCTTTCCCCTTTCCCTCCGTCCTCTCCCCACTCTCGCTCAACCAACATTGACTCAGACTTTAGTGACCTCTCAAGTCTGGGTTAGGTGCATACAGAGTACACTGTCGTACACTGTCACAGCACCGGTCACATATTATTGCAGGGCAGGGGCTTGTCTGTCTTAATGTACTATTGCCATCATTGGCACATAGTGAGTGCTGTTTAAGTCTTTCGAATGAATGTTCTAGTCTGGGGAAGTCAAAGGAGGCTTTATGTAGGAGATGGCACATGAGCTAAGTCTTTAAAAACAGAAATCAACAACAGTACACATCTAGCTTATTATATATCCTTTTCCCTAGCAGTTCACAAACACCTAATGTGCATGTGGCACTTACATTTGAACCATGAATTATGTACTGCTTGCCTTTTCCTCTTTACAGGCAGGAAAACAGTCTGCCTCAGATGATAATCAGTGTTTTGAGCTTTGAGTGCCACCTGGTGGTTGGCAAAGGGAATTATCTGACCCACTTTTTTCCCCTCCTGGGATTCTATCTCCAACGTTCTTTCCTCTTTCTGTTATCTTTCAGTGCTAATGGTTTGTTTAGTTCTAGTTAGGAATTCATTCAAAAATATTTCCGTTAACTGTATTTCTCTTCATCTTTCTTTTCCAACTTTGCTGTATCACAAAAAATCGTTCTTCCTTTTTCTGTTTTTCTGCACTAAGCTAAAGATATGTCAATTGTAACGTTTTTGTTTTAAAGCAAAATTACATAAAATAAGGTGTTCATTTAAAGTGCTTACAAATTACTTTAGGAATCTAAAGAAAGATCTCTTCATCCACATCCTCAGATTCCTTGGGTTAAAAACTTTCTGCTAGCAAAACATTTGTGAAAAATAAAAAGTGAATTCTTATTCATT